GGCTGTTTTCCCCATTGCATTAGTAACGGGGGTGTTAACTGTAAACTGAAACTGGAGGGCCTGGCTCCAGCTTCATCTGTCCCCTTCCCCCGTCTCACCTTGGCCAGAGCTCGGGGTCAGGAGCCACGTGCAGGTGGTATTTCTGCAGATCCTTCTTTTTACATCTCAGGATCATGAGTGGGACGTCAGCTGTTGACCTCCCTTGGTGTTAAGGTGAGCAGGTACAAGCAGTTGACCCAAAACAGTTATTCTTTCACCTCTAAACCTGGCTGGTGCAGTTGACCCCAATACAGTTATTCTTTCACCTCTAAACCTGGCTGCCGTCGCCTGGGCCAGACTTTAGAGGGTTCCCTGAACCCTCTATCTGTGAACAGCGGGGAGGGACTTGGGCTTGGGGGGAAGTTTTGCACCTTGAGGTTGAAATCACCAAGGGCAGGGGCCCAAGGAGAAAGTTTTCACCACTCCTGGGCAAGGTGGCACCACTGAGAAACCGAGGAGACTTTTCTGGAACACCAGTTACGTAAATTGCCCTGGGATCGCTGCCATCCAGGTTAGAAACCGGCTTCCTCCAACCTTTGCTTTCTGAGTCATGGAGCAGAGGTGCTGTCACCGCACTGGTGCAGGCACCGGTCCTATTGTGAAGGGATTTGGGGTTTTTCCATTGTGTTCCAGGAGCGTTGGTCATCTGCTGCTGGGGATGAGTCCCAGCTGGTCCCCCTTGTCCTGCCTGGTCCCCCTTGTCCCAGCTGGTCCCCCTTGTCCTGACCCACCAGAGCTCAACCTGGAGCCGTGCTGGGAAAACACATGGGAGTTGGGTGTCAGTGGGACCTTGAACTCGACCCTTTGGAGGAGACAGGTCCCTGTGTCCTGGGGACAGATCTAGCTTCCTAATACTTTTCCCCTTTTTTCGCTTTTCCCCCCTGTTCTCTCTGCTGCTTCTCTTATTCAGAATATTGCTTACGTGGTAGAAAAGCCCGGCTCGGGCTGGGGCAGAGTACAAGTGATAGAGAGTGGAGTTGAATGACTTCATCACCATAGCGATGGATCCTGTCATCGGGGCTGTGCTTTTCTTTAAACTCTTGCCTCGTTACACAAACATACAGCAACACAACTGACGTGGGATTACGCCAAACCCAACCACTTCCAGCTAATTATTTTTTTTTCCCCCCTGTATACGCGTATCATCCTTTATTGAGCAGGAGCTATTCATGAATAACTATCTTTTTCGAGCATCTTCGCTGAACAATGCACAAAACAATGATCAAAAGATACAGGAGGAAGCTGAGCAACTGTTGCCTCCGATATGCCTTGTGCATAGGCTCCTCGGTCTGTTGGGGTGACGTGAGTTCTTCTGGAGATCTTTATTTTTTGCACAATCATTTCCTTTTTCCGAACTGCAATAGGCAAGATCCATAAATTCCACTTAATAGCAATAATAATAATAATAATAAAATGCCTTGTTCTTGTGTCAGACTGGCAGAAGGGTTGACAAAACCCCCTCTGGGGTTGAAGGGCTTGTTTTCTTCCCTCTCTCCTTCCTGCTTGAACGCTTCACGGTTCATCGGAGTTGGGTGAAAGAGCATCTCTGGGTCCCTGGTAACCCTTGTACGGGCATCTCCAAAGTGACTAGTCCAAACCTGGAGGTCCAGAAATAGCAGAGGGCAGCTTTTCTGTCGATAATCTGGGATGATTTGTGCTGATGGTGCTAACTCTAGGGCACAGCCCCCCATGGCAGCGGGCACGGGCTCGCACGGTCCTGCCAGGGGTTGCCACTCGTCCTGGTTTCAGATCAGGGCAGCGTTGGCCTCTTCTGTAAATGGCTCCCTGCGCTGCGGATTATGTGGAATTAAAAGGATTTAAAATGCAAGATGTCCTAAGATAAATATCTCCCAAGTTCAGCCAGGCTGGCAGTTGTGTAACCGAATGCACTTGGTTTTCCAGTGGACTTTCCTGCCTGCTCTTAAGAAAACTTATTAGGGTGGGGTGTGTGTGGAAGGGCTTGTGTGTTACCTCTCGGGCAGTTTGATCTGTCCCTCACCCAGAGATGCCCTCGCTGCCGGGCAGCTGCTCCACGTGCCCATCAGATTAGCTCTGTAATCCCCGTTTCCGCTCACCCCGGAGCAGGGATGGATGGAAAGTTGCAGGGACAGGCTGGTGGCCCCGGTGAGGCTTGTGCCACTGCGTTCTTGGTAGCCCAAGCCCTGCTCTGCCACCATCGGATCAACTCCTCGCTGCCCTGGGCACCCAAGGGAAGGGGTTCTGCCTCCCTCCTGCAGCGGGTATCGCCTGGTTACTGCTGCCAGGAGATCTTGGGGGTTGTTTTTAGAGGAGGACGTTCAGGAGGCTCCTTTCCAACCCCGAGAACAATGTGCTGTGAGGGGGTATCTGGCACGGAGACCAACAGGCGTACACACTCGCTAAGGCGCTGCGCCTGGTATGCGGGGGGGGGGGGGGG